TACGCCAAGTAAGTTTATATACAACTTTTTCAATTAATTTCACTGAATCCTCTCAGTTACCAGGTGGCATCAGGATTATTATTGATATGGAAACTGAATCCCTAAGCTCAGGTCACAAAGCTGGTAACTGGGTATGCTGGAATTTCAGACAAAGTCTGACTCCAGTGCCTTGTTCTTCACCACCCTGCATCTCTTCATGGATCATAAGTATACCCCAAGTTTTGAGAGTATTCATAAAAAATAGTTATGTATTCCACAGACACCCTTAACCACAGTAGATGACATTCAGTTGGAGTCCTTTTCAGGGCCAGTACTAATCATCCGCATGAACATGAAGTTGTTATGGACTGAACTGTGTCCCCTCAAAAGTCATATGTTGAAGCCATGATCCCCAGTGTGACTATTTGGAGATACGGCCTTTAGGAGGTAATTAAGGTTAAATGAAGCCATAAAGGTGGAGCCCTAGTCCAATAGGGTTGGTGTCCTGGTAAGAAGAGGGAGACTGCGCCCTCTCCTGCTACGAGGACCCACGAGAAGCTGGCCATCTGCACGCCAGCAAGAGAGCCTCCAACCGGCACCGAACCCTGCCGGACCCCGGTCCTGGCCTCCCCAGCCTCTGTGAGGTGTGAGGAAATCAATCCCTGCGGCCCGAGCCACGCGGCCTGTGGTATTATCACAGCTAGAGCTGACTAAGACCCGAGTCAAGAGAGCAGCTTTGACCGAGTGCTCGGACCTGCCGGCGTTTGGACAGGTCACAGAACAGCTTGAATTCTGGGGATGGAATCTGGCTTCACATAAACGAACGGGCCGCATCCCGCCTATACAATTGTAGTTAACAGATTATACAATAAAATGACACAGAAGTTGTGACTAAAATGCCACAATCGCACGGCATCCCCTTCGTGTACGTACGTAAGGAAGTGTGACGCTGTTGTGCCTTTGGGAAAGTGAAGGCACAGCGGAGTATCTGGGATTTCCACTGACTTAAAAGCCACGGTGCTACAGGAGGCTGGGGCAAAAGGAGGGCAGCGACTCGATGGGGATGTGCCCCGGGGTGTCCTCGCAGCCTGAGTGTACCGGACATCTCACAACTGCCCTCTTGGCCGCTGCATGCTTTACCACGGATTAAGAAGAAACAATGGCATTTATTTGAAAAAACAAGTGATCAAAACCCCACAGCAAAGAATATTCCATGTGTTTGTCATGGCACCAAGCACTTCCTCTTGCAGCAACTGCGGACCCAGACAGGTCATTCTGGTTTATACTAATGGCCAAATGCAGAGGAAAAGCAGCACATGTCCCAGAGAGATTGCTTCCCTCTAGAGAGACGTTTTCCTGGCAGGGAAACAGCAATCACACAAAAATATAACAGGAAATAGTTGAATAAAGTAAAAAACATAAATCCTACCCACAGTGGAAAATTTTAAAATTGAATAATAATCTGGAAAAAGAATAGTAGCAAATGAACAGTTGGGTGGTACCTGACGGCTCTTCCCCAGTAGGAATGTGGTGAACAGGGAATTCACATCATAGTCAACAAAAGATGTGGAAGGAAAAAATCAAGGACATCCGCTACATTACAAGTCCGGGAGCTCAGTGGTAGACAGATTCACTCAAAGAATGGTTAATGTAGCTTTGCTTGCTACAGGTGTTTGGACGGATGAAATATTTTGATCCTACACCCAGTTTTGTCGACTGTACTTTTACTGGGTGTAGACCCCAGGCTGCCGCACCTGACACCCAGAGGTCTGTATTGCTTGGGATAGAGATCAGAGGTAAGAACTGGTGGCCTGTGGACTGCATCAGGCACACAGACTGTGTTTTATTAATTTGAGCCGACGCTTAAAAATAAGTAGGTGTCAGATGAAAATGGGCATTTCCATCCTGTTATGGAAATTCAGAAGACCTGGCGACACTGGGCTTGCATTCTCACAGGGCAACAATGTGTTGAAGCTAGGACACGTTTAGACAGGGCACGTGCTCTCCCTCTGAAACCTCCTTCTGAATTGTACCCTGCTGCCCCCCATTCGTAAGTTGAAACCCTAACCCCCAAAGTGACTGTATTTGGAGACAGGGCCTTTGAGGGGGCTGTTTAGGTTAAATGAGGTCATAAGGCTGGGTTCCTAATCTGATTTTTCCCTCCTCCCTTGTGCACAGGCTTACAGAGGAAAGGCCATGTGAGGACACGGCAAGAAGGCGGTCATCTGCAGGCCAGGAAAGGAGGTCTAAGGGAAACCAATTCTGCTGGACCTCAACCTTGAACTGTCAGCCTCCAGAACCATGAGAAAAAAATGGCTGTTCTTCCCACTGCTCGGTCTGTGGCACCTTGTGATGGCAGTTCAAGCCCACTAATATAGAGCTCAGGCTCTGGAGAAGAGAGTTGTCTGAGAATTCTTCCCTGTGGCCCACCCTACACACTTGTCATCTGACCACTTCTCTGAGACCATTCCCTCCCCATTCCTACTACACAGTTCTACTTCTGACTCTAGGATCCCTTCAGGATCTGTGGCCTTTTAACTGGAACTTCCATCTTATCTGCACTCCACCTCTGTTCCCCCTTAAAACCCAGCCACCCCATGCCTGAAAGAATGCTCCATCTAAGAGTTAAAACAGAACCACATCAGTCTTGCTGTCAGGCCCTCATGGCCACAGTGGCTCCCAGACTCTTGTGTTCCTAGCACCATGTGGGGTACTAAGTCCTGTGCAGGAAACAAAGCTCAGGTCATCGGGATGGACCATGGGGGTGTTAGCATGCATCAAAGCACCCATGAAGCGTGTGGGCTGTAACAAAGTGCCAAACAAGAGGTGCAAATAGAATTCAATACGGACACGAGGGAGTTACACATTTATTCCCACGGGAGGCCTGGCCATGTCTCCTGGAGGAGATATCATCATGGAAGATGGGACAACCTCGGACTAGTGGGCATGGAGTATGGAAGGGCCCTAAAGTGCATGCGTCCTTCCTGAGCCTGTGAGTTCTCCAATGCACATTCTAGAATAAGTAAGTGAATGGGGTCAGTGAGAAAGATAAATGCCTAATCAATATAATGGCAGCAGAAGCAAACATTTGAGGCCATGAATGGTCAGTAAATCGTGCTTTTGATTCAAAGATTTCCAGCTCAATCCACTCTCAATCCTAACAAAACCAAGAACCGCTCTCAGTTTAATTCAAGTCTATACGAAATCTGATAAACAATGTGAGCCTGACACAACAGCATGTACTTTCACATTGACATCATCAGGTGGAAGATACAATGTACTTTACCCCAAAGATCTGAGTCAATGTCATTTCCAATATGATGTTAGTATACAAGCTATAAAGAGGGTAGTCATTCAACATATGTACCAGAAGTTGGCTCTTGGACCACACCATTCCCTTCTTTAGATATTATCTCTCAGTTCCTTTTCAAAGAATCATAAGCTTATTAATTTTTACATATATCAAGCATGTTCTGCTTCAGCTATCCTTTTATTTAAAAAAAATTCTGTTCAACTGCACAATCACATTAAAACATTGCATCGCTACAACTCTAGACCTTATTTATTTTATTCTTTTATTTCTTGAGACCACAGTCCTCTCCTTTTTGGGTTATTTTAATCTGAGGCACTTAAAATTTTTGGCTTGAGTAATTTCAAATTAGTTTCTTTCCAGAAAAATAAGTGGGTAGGAGCATACTTTGAGCGCTTGCATTTCTGAAGATCTTAGACAGAAGTAATGGTTTAATGAGGTATGAAATTCTAAGATTACAATTCTGTATTTTCAGACCTCTGGAAACATTGCTCTGTCATAGTGTAGAAGTTAGTACTGTAGATGAAAACTGTTTCTGATCTGGTCCTCTTCCCTTTTCAGGTAAACTGCTTGCTTATTTTTTTTTTTTTCTTCTTTGTTTCTCCCCCCAAATTTCCCTTTATCTTAGAATTCAGCAGCTAGGTTTGTGTTGTTTTAATTATTCATTCTTGCAGTAAGGGAGCTCTTTCAAACTGAAGACTTATTTGGTTCTCTAAATGTTAAATAAAAGCCGCCTTCATTTATAACCAGGTATCTTACTCAAGTCATGGAATGGGTTCCTTTCCTATGCATAGCAGAGCACAGAGGTAAACAGTTATTTTTCCTAATATCTCACAAAATTTGGGTCAAAGCACACATGTTAAATGTTTGTTGTTTGCCTTACAATTTAAAAGGCAACAAGCAGCATCAGGAATTCATGATTTTTTTTTTTTTTTAATTTTTTATTCTACAGTAGAGTGCACAGAAAATGCTTTCTGGGTGCTAACTTGGAGAAGCACTGCTATGCTTGCTACAGCTAAAGCTCTGAGAAAAATCCTAGCAAACCATGTAGTAGTTTGTTCCCTTTGAAACGCTGGTGACTTGGTGCCCACTTTCTTGCAGGCCCTTAGCACCATGCGCAGCTCTTGGGGAGCCTGCCACGCTATTCTGCTTCTGGTTCTGAAAGAGAAGCAAACGTTCTGGGAGCACTGGGGTTGAAATTACTCAATGAAATAGAAGTGCTATATCCTCAGCGGTTGAAGTCACTTCTCCAAAGGGAACAAGCCACACCTACCGACTGCTCTGCCCTAATTCTGTGATTGGAAGGAAAGCTTTGCGGTCACGCTAAAAGATCTTACAGTCTCCTGCCATTTGTGCTCCTAAAACAAAGTGCAGAATGACTACACCGTTGCAGGAAATGAGATGCTCGCGTTAGCCATCCCTGTGGATTGCAGACTGGGGAAGTAATCGAGGGGGGAAAATTCCCAGAGAAGCTCATTAATTAGTAATAAATAGGCAATTGGCCAAAATCACAAGGTGTGGAAAGCAGCAAAATCACCCGGTAATGCGTTCTCGGCCAAATCACGAAAGTAAATAATTTCCGTGTGCAAATCAACGTAGCGACGATTTTAGCCTGCCCCACCTCCCCGCACGCTTCTGCGACCGTAGCCCACCCGGTGCGGAACGAGAGGGGCCCTGCGCCCGGGGCGGGGTGCGCGCCGACGGCACCTACCCAGCAGCAGGAGCCGGTGCGTCTGCTGCAGGTCGCGCTTCTGCTCGCGGAGCATGCGGTCGATGCCCCTGCTGACCTTCCTCGCCTCGCGCTCCGCCTCGCCCTCCTCGGCTCGCAGCTGCTCCGGACGCCGCCGCCGCTCCTTCTTCGGGGTGGCTTTGGGCCGCGTGCACGCCGGGCTCCCGCCGGCGCCCCGAGGGAGCGGGGTCGGCGCCGCGTCTCCCCCCACCGCCGCCGGGGCTCGGGCGGGGGTCGGGGCCGGGGCCGGGCCGGGCCGAGCGTCTTCCGCAGGCTCTTCCGAGGCGGCGCGGGGGACGTCCTCCGGATCCCCGAAGAGCAGCGGCCGCAGACTGTAGCACAGACCCATGTGGACGCGGGGTGCGGGGGGGCGCGGGGCTCAGGCTGCGGCCCCGGCGGAGGGGCGGGAGGGGGCTGCACCCGGACCCGGCGCGGCGCTGCCGCCCACAGGCTGCGGGCTGGGGGTGCGGAGGGCCCGGGCCGGGCGCCACGGCCCCTCACTGTCCCGGAGGGCCATTTTGCATTTTCCGCTGGGTGCAGGGGGTGGCGGCCGCCTGGGCTGGAGATCACCTGATAACGCGGCGAGCGGGCCGCGCCGACGGGCCTCCGCGAGCCCGGCCCCCGTTACCGTAAAAACCGCCGCCGGGACCGGCACCCCGTTACCGTAAATACCGCCGCCAGGGCCGGCCCTCGTTACCGTAAATACTGAAGCCTTGGTGGTTCCATTGTAAATACCACCGCCGTCTCCACTCTGGTTACGGTAAATATAGCCGCCTGGCCCGGCCCCCAAGACCGTAGGCACCGCCTTGCGTTCGAGTCTTCCATACCGTAAATACGGTTGCCCGAGCCCGGCGTGCAGCTGCGGACAGTGCCGCAGTGGCGGTGGTGGTGCCGTCACCACCCAGAACTGCCATTGCAGCACTTAGAAAACCACCGTGGCTTCGATCTGGGACAGTGGTAAATAAGAACGGGAAGCCTGACAAAGGGATAGAGATGCTAGCTTTCAGATCTTGAATTGCCGGATGTATTACCTGCAGAGATCACCGCACCTTGCCTCTCCTTTTTCACTTACATCTTACACACAACCAGACACATCTGCACGCTTTTGATCCTTACCTTAATTCTATTATGCCTTTGATCTCGACAAAAATCTCCAAATCAGGAGGTCCATGACATCATTTTTAACAATCACACTTATTAAAACATTGAGAAGGAGAACATGTAATTGTCATATACTATTTTTATTTGTTAAAACGAATATATGAAATTGCACTCTGTATCCTATTTTTTAATCCACAGTATAAGGTCAGAGAGGAGCAGAGGCATATTCAGACCGGGTGCCCTTTCTCCACGCCTCCTATGGATACAACCCCAACGGAGATCCCCACTGTCTCTATTATTTCCCACTTAATATCCATCATCTTATAGAACAACTGTTGAAAATTTCGGTAGTTTTTAAGAACTCTGCTATAACACGTGTTCCTTAATTTCTACTAAATGACATGAAATATTATAACTGATAAATATACGTAATGTAAATCCCGTTAATTGCGGCAGATTGGTCTGTTTAATGCAATGCCCTGCTAACAAAGGTACACTGTACCAACTGGCACTTGGTGTAAATATTACATTTGATTAAATATTTTATTATTTTGTTTTGAAAGAGAACTTTTTATTACTTTTATGTACAAAAAATTCAACAGCGTCTGCTCATTCCAGTTTTGTGGCCAGTTCTTTAGCATTTGCCTTTTCCAGCTTGGCAATGCGAGCCGCTGACTTTGGACCCAGGACGTTGCCTCCCCAGTGATGGTGGATCTCATCATATCTGTCATTGTAATTGGTCCTGATGGCTTCCACCAGCTTAGCCAGAGCTCCTTTGTCTTCCTATGTGAAGGCCATAGTGGTGCAGGTCTTCCTGTGGACCAGATACCCCAGCCTGGCCTTCCCCTTGACAATGCAGTAGGGAACCCCCACCTTACGACACAGGGCAGGCAGGAAGACAACCAGCTTAATGGGATCCACATCATGTGCACTCACTATGAGCTGAGCCTTCCTGTTTTCTGCCCAGGTGGTGACATATTAACCCCTGCTTGAGGGACAGGCGGCCTCTTAGTGGGGACATCCCCTTTGCCAGCAGCTTTCTTCTCAGCCCGGGCCAACAGTCTCTGCTTCTTCTCTTGCTTTGTCTCTGGTCTGTATCTTCTTCTCTTGCTTTGTCTCTGTATCTGTATCTGAGTGTAAGCGTTGCCGTTTGGTGGTCCAAGGCCTGGGTGAGCTGGTTAATCACAACAGGCACTTTGAGACGTTTATAGAGAGTAGCCCTTTGCCGCTGTGGCCAGATGTAGCAGGGCGATTTGACAAAGCAGGGGAGGTCCCTTTTGGACTGGGTCTCCTGTCCAATGCCAAAATTCTTGGGCCTTTTCTCAAACAGGGGATTGACTACCTTCTTGGTCCCCTGTTTCTTCACAACAGCAGGAGCCGGGGCCTCCTTCTTCCCCTTAGCCTTCTTTCCTTTTGGCATCTTGGATGGCTGGAGGGGAGGGTACATTTTGATTACATTTTTAAAGAAGGAAATTGGAGAGCTAGATTCACATTTATTTTAGGGCCCTGTTAAGAACAAAAGTATATACTATGTAATGTTTTGGACCTAACATTATCCCCCAAATTTGCCAAAATTAGCTGCACTTTTAGGTTTTTGTAGAAGAAAGGAGGACCATAGAAAATCTAACTTGAGAAAACAGAAAAAACTATGAAGTATCAGTGTGATTTTCACTGTTCATTCACCCGCCCATCCTCCACGTATCCTTTCACTTATTTAGTATTTATCAAACGCCAACAATATGCTAGGCATTCTGGTTGGTATCAGGTGAAGCAAAAGACATGGGTCCTTGTGGTGTTTATACACTAATGAGGTAGAAATATGTTCAATCATATACATACAAGTTAATAAATTTATGATATATTTCAAATTATGCAAATGTTGTGAAGGGAAGGAAGAGGGTTCTCTAAGAAGTAATAAGGGAAGGCCCAATTTAAATTGGAAAGGGAGGCAAAGAAAAGGAAAACAATGATTCAAAGGGATACATGCATCCCTATGTTTATAGCAGTATTATTTACAATAGCCAAGATATGGAAGCAACCCAAGTGTCCATCAAGAAGAATGGATAAAGAAGCTGTAATATATATATATTATATATATATAATACAATTATAAAATTATATTACTAATATATATTGCATATATTATATATAGTATTATGTATACACATATATACACACTGAAATATTAGTCAGCATAAAAAAGAATGAGATCTTGCCATGTGCAACAAGGATGGACCTAGAGGGTATTATGCCAAGTGAAATAAATCAGAGGAAGACAAATACCATATGATTTCACTCAAATGTGGAGTTTAAGAAACAGAACAAATGAACAAAAAAGAGAGACAAGCAAAACCCAAACTCTTAAATACGGAGAACAAACTGGTGGCTGCCAGAGGAGAGGTGGCTGGGGGGAAATGGGTGAAATAGGTGATGGAAATTAAAGAGTACACTTATCATGATGAGCAATGAGTACTGAATAGAATTGTTAGGCCATTATATTGTACATCTGAAACTAATATGACACTATATGTTAATTATACTTCAGTAAAAACAATGGTAGGGGAAGAAGTTTGTATGTGATACAGGGAAGGCCTTTCAGAGGAAGGGATATTTGAACTGAGAAGAATATATACCAATTCCTTTCCTGTTATAACTTATTAAACTTTATCAACTAGTATCACAAGAGTGGATAACATTTTACATATTAAAACCAGGTGAAAACAGAAGCAAATATAGTATAGATTTTATTTTTATTTATTTTAGAGAGAGAGAGCATGAGTGAGCACAAGTGGAAGGAGGGGCAGAGAGGGAGGGAGAGAGGGAGAGAGGAGGAGAATCTCTCAAGCCGACTCCATGTGGAGCGCGAAGCCTGACACTGGGCTTGATCTCACAACCCTGAGATCATGACTCTTTTTTTTTTAAGATTTTATTTATTTATTCATGAAAGAGAGAGAGAGAGAGAGGCAGAGGGAGAAGCAGGCTCCCAAGGAGCAGAGAGCCCAATGTGGGACTCGATCCCAGGACCCTGGGATCATGACCCGAGCCAAAGGCAGACAGACGCTCAACCATCTGAGCCACCCAGGCACCCTGAGATCATGACTTGAGCCTAAACCAAGAGCTGAACGCTTAACTGACTGAGCCACCCAGGTGCCCCTAGTATAGATTTTTAAAGTACATAATTTGTATCTAGATGGGAATTCACTCACATTTAAGGATTTACTTAAGAGATAGAAGACAATGTTTTCTATTGGTACCCAATATCATAAACTGAAAATAATTTCTTAAAATCCTGTTAAAAGAATCCTAGGAAGGGGCGCCTGGGTGGCTCAGTTGTTAAGCGTCTGCCTTTGGCTCAGGTCATGATCTCAGGGTCCTGGGATCGAGCCCCACACCGGGCTCCTTGCTCAGCAGGAAGCCTGCTTCTCCCTCTCCCACTCCCCCAGCTTGTGTTCCTGCTCTCACTGTGTCTCTCTCTGTCAAATAAATAAAATCTTAAAAAAAAAAAAAGAATCCTAGGAAAGAATTGTTGGGGGCCCATCTTGCCCATATTTCAATTTCTTTCAACACTTTTAATTACATATCAATTACACAAAATTGGATTATGTGTTCTCTACATAGGATAAATTAAAATAAAATATTTAATATTTATATATCACTTTAGTTAAATTTAATGTTTTCTCTTTAATTCAAGGTTGATTTTTAATTCATGAATAATTAGGTCATACAAGTAAGCAATTTCTAATGCCAAAGAATGATTATGAATCTGAAAATAGAAATCATGAGGTGACTTTAAAGTAAATGTAAAATTATAGCATGTAAGGTATAATTTTATATTTAATCTTAACTGATGCCAAAGGATTATTTCAGCCTAAATTCATTTTCCTTTGAACTTTCTAAGAGCAATCAGAATTAAATATAGTGAAAGGTTTATGTCTAAGGTCTTTGTATGGAAATCATGTTCAGTTGATGAAAGTGGCATTTTATTGCTGCACATTTTTGCAAATTTTCACACTGTTTAATTGGAAACTTGAGTAAGATTGTAGAAATGAGTTAAGACCAATTTGGCTTCTTTCTCCCCAGTTGGAACTATAGTTGAATAGTATGATGTGTAGTTATAGAGGATTGATTAAACAATGATACATTCTCAAGAATGCAATAATAATGTATCCATTAAAAATGAAAGAGGGCTGATTTCCCATAACGCAGGATTTCTCAACCTTGGCACTATTGACTTTTGTGGCTAGATAATTTGTTGTGGTGGGGAACCGTCCTGTGTATTGTAGGATGTTTAGCAACATCCTTGGCCTCAACCCAGTAGAGGCCAGTAGCACTCTTCCTCAGTAGTGACAACAACAACGAAATGTCCCCAGATATGCCAAATATGCCCTTAGGCAAAACTGCCCCTAGTTCAAAACCATGGTTGTAATAGTTTGGCAGAGTAGCTCAGCTGGACTAATCAATTAAAAAATATGATATTTATATCTCCTATATTTTTTTAAGATTTTTATTTATTTATTTGACAGACATAGACACAGTGAGAGCAGGAACACAAGCAGGGGGAATGGGAGAGGGAGAAGCAGGCTTCCCGTGGAGCAGGGAGCCCCATGCGGGGCTCGATCCCAGGACCCTGGGATCATGACCTG